ACGTCATTTTTATAAGAACACTCATTAAATAATATAAAAGAAAGAAGTCAAAAAAAAAACTTGTGATAATTAACGATTCACGTCATCTGCAAACTCACCAAAAAAAAATATCTATTATCCATAGAACATGAAAGAAAGTAAAACACTTTTTCTAATTATTTTACGTGTATCCAACAAAGACACATTGATAAATATGTTACTTACATTTTTATTTCTTATTTCAATCTAAAACAAAATATCAGTTTGATAGAGTATGGAAAACATTTTTATTTCATTCTGTCGATTTATGTCAAATTTTATCTGTTTCAATAATGAAACAAAACTATTTCATTTTCCCTTTTACAAACATATCAATTAAAATTAAAATTATATAAATAAATATAAAAGCTATATTTTTATGAAGAATTGATTATAAAGAAAAAAACGTCAACTTGACAGAGAATGACTTCGCTGTTTCTATAGGAATAAGATCAATCAAAATCATGATAATTGCCACGTTTGTTAAATAGGTTACTTTGTCTCGAAAAGAATGTTGGATGTAGGTGTGAGGGTGAGCGTGAATTATCTCTTGACTCACACCCTATTAAAATTTAATTATCATAGTTTTCTATATTCCAATTTTTCGATTTTCAGCTGCTAGAGACATTGAATTGTTCACAATTAAATTTCGATTTGTATATGCAGTGCTAAATGATTTTATCTTTCTTTTGTAAATTTTTTTTCTTTGATAGATCGAACGAAATTTTCATCAATCCAAACTATGTCATATTTCGCGATAGCAATGAAAACAGACGATATAGTCAGTACTTTATCTAGACTTTTCACTTCTGGATGGCAATTAAATATTCGGGAAGGATTAGTACTTATTTTTTTGAGAACAAAGCCACTCAGTAAATGGTACAATAGCCACAAACTTCGGGCAGTTTCAGTCAATTTTCAGTGCGACACTGAGATCTCGACACTTAAGTTGGATAAGAAACTGAATACTAGATGCTGTTTTATTCGATTCAGATGATTTTGAAGTCATAATCGTTTTAAGATCGTGCTGCATTAAAAAAAAAGAGAAACATTCTAAAATTTTGCTTTCTTTTTAAGAATTCAAAAGTTTGCTATAATAACATTAAGAAAAAAAATATATAAGAAGCTGAATTTAACTTAATTTTCTATTAAAAGACTTCGTTGTCAGTGAAATCTTATCTACGTTATGTCAATAGAATTTCTCTATTCAAAAAAATAATTACATAACAAATACTGTATGAGACTCTTCTTTCTAGGACATAGTTCAATACCATAATTAAATTCACGCCATGCTTGTTTTCGTTAAAAAAAGATGCGTTTATTATTTTGAGCGTGAGCGTGCATGCTTGTAAGTGTGGTTCTTCTCATACGTCATAACCATACACAACTCTGAAAGTTGATTCATGTACTCTTATCATTGTGCTTACCTATTTCAATGGGTAAAAAGTTTCTAAGAAATGTTTTTCGTCATAGTTATTGTTATTTTATATAATATAATAATAATGTGTCATATGCATTCTTTTCACCTGAAGATGTGGTTGTAGAATGATCTGGATCTGGTCTCCACCCATATCCATATCTTTAACTAGGACAAAACTTTCATATGTGTTTTGAGCAAGATTTAGCATAGCTTTGCTTCAACAACTCTTATATAACGAACTTGTTACTACTCCTCGTTTATTGTTACATTTTTCTCATTGGGCATGACACAAGGGTAAAAAAGTGAGACTTCATCTACTTCAAAAAAAATTTGAAGTACAAAGTCTCGCTTTTTCTCCCTTGACCACAATACATGAAGACAGAATGAAAAAAGCACTGAAATTACTTTGTAAATAACAAAAAGGATAAAAACAATATGTCTAAAAACATTTATAAAAGGATATTTAATCGAAGCACTATGAGCTTGAAATGAAAGTTTCAGAGAAACATTTTTAGTACATTTACAGATGCTATTTTCGCTTTCGATTTTGAATAAGGTCTTTAGCTCTTATCGACTTACGGTACTATGATACAAGCTAAAATCTTCGGACACGGCAATATTTGACGGCATTTGCCGATAAAAAAGCCATTAAATTGAAGTAATTGAAGTCTGAAATGTCTTTAGTATCAAAGAGCATTTGACGCTCTTTCGAATGTCATATTTAAAAATAATTGAATCTCTACACAAAAAAAGATAAAGAGTTCAAATAAGCGGTAGGCGAAACTTTTCATACAATAATCATGATATTTCATACTAAAGTTAGTTTTGAAAATTATTAGTAGCCAAAATGTAGCCCGTCTTCTCCTTTTTCCATTGATATATATTTAGTCCTTTTTGAACATTTGTGGAAAAAAATAACTCAATTTAAAGCATCATCCAATCAAAATTGTCCAGCAGAAATTGACTGCTGCTGATTGTTATATGTACAGCTCCATTATAACTCAACAGTTATGGATGAAATTTTCTGTGGATATAGTAGAGCGGCCTGTCCACGTAACGGTACACCTCGGTGGGCAAAGTTGACTTACTCAATTAGTTAAAACCAATATGACCATCGTGTAGAGTAATGTCGAAATCATACAGAAATTTTCAATAGACTATGTAATTATCACAAGATCACCACGTTTCGTTACTTCTTTAATAATTATCTTTCTGCTTGTAAATATCATACATTGATACAGATGATTCCGTCACGAAACTTCTCTATAGTTCATTTTTAGCCCAGAATAAGTTCTTTTTTTTTAAACAAGTGGTACTCTAAATACTATTTCTTACACTGTATCTTATGGTCTGATTGGTAATTTTTTTGAAGATTTTAACGGATGAGAAATGACGTGATGGAATCACCCACTAATGATCAAGTTTTTTTAAGAAAAAGTTGAAACGCAATTTTTCTTTCAATTTGTTATTTCAAACAAATCTATGACTCGAGAAAAGTGATTTTAGAAGCCTATTGCTTAATAATAGAGTGTGTCTTCAATGATTTCTTTTGTCACTAGAGATTATTTTGATGATATGCTATCTAGGTGACAATAACCAGCGATAACACCATGTCAGTTAAAATTTCTTATTTTTAACTTAGAATGTTTTTCTATCAACAATAGTCGACTGTTTTTATTATTCTTATCTTCTCTTATATAATACTTCGGTATAATTACGAACATGTGATGTTTACAGCTGTATATATCAGTACAAGTGTAATTGTTGACGATAGAAAAAGAGAATGAAATGTTAGACCAACATTCCTATTCTAAACGATTTTTTTCCTATTCGTTGTATTGTAGTATACTTTCTCTAGTACGCAGACGTTAAATAAACTAAATGTTGATTTTCTTTGACTGTCTTTTCTAAATTTTTAGATAATTTTAGTTGTTTTTTTTGAAAATGCCATTGACAGCAGCAGAAAGAGCAAAAAATTATCATGATCGATTAAAACAAAAGGAAAAAAGAATATATTGATTTTAAACGAAAAGACTGTGAACAAAAAGCTCAAAAAAGAGCTTTGATGAATATCAAAGAACAAGAAGAATTCCTTAATAGTCATCGAATAGCACAACGACGCTATCGTCAAAAATTAAAAAACAAAAATGATTGTACAATGCAGCCTGAGCAGTTGGAATTAAAATTTTTTTTAAAATGTTGTCAGAGCATTTTTTCTTATGTAGTTCTTCATATCGCAGATAAACCCTTGCTAAAGCTGTGAAGAAAGTTCTACGTGCATTGCCTAATGATCCATATAAACAACATCTGAAACGTATTGGGTAGGATATAGAATTGTTACCGAAACCAACATTTGAACGAACATAAGCAAATATATCTGAAACTGTTGTGAGAACAGTCCATGATTTTTACAAGAAGGATAGTATTTCCTGGCAAGCACCTGGAAAGCGTGACTATTTAACTATCCGAGAAAATGGAATTCGTGTTCAACACCAAAAATGTTTTTTATTATACAATATTCGAGAGATTTATGAATTGTTTATTCAAGAACATCGAGGTATGAGCGAGTATTTTTCACTAAAAAAGTCTGATAGGATAAGAGTATAGAGTTAAACTGTGTTTTGACAAGTTGAAAAAAATTTCGAGAAAAATTAAATTTTTGGTCTTTCCTCGATCTGCATCTTTCAAAGACAGCCGTTATATGTTGCCGTTTATCATTTTTATGTTCCTTTAGATATATCGATTAGTCGATCAATGTTTGCTAAACTTCGACCAGAATACATTTTAACAAAGAAAACTTTAGCATATCGAATATGTGTTTGTGTCATTCATGATAGTGTTAATCTGTTATTGGAAGTGTAGCCAAAAGAAGTACATTGTTTAAAGAATAATTTGAATGAATTTTTATCTAAAATGGTATGTGACGAATCAGAAGAATCCTGTATGATGTCGTGCTGCGACACCTATGCAAAAAATTTCAAACAGCATATTGCCAGGAAGATAATTGATAAAAAAAATAGTCAGTTGGTTTCAATGGACAAATCTCAATGGGCGAGCAGTGAAACAAGAATTTTCTGGTAAAAATAAGCCTAGACTATAATTAAAACAATAATAAATATTTTTTAACTGATTTCATACTTATTACTTAAGGATCAGTGTGGAAGTGTGTTAAGTAATTAAAATGTAAAACACCAGAATATTTGTGGCAAGTAAACATTAAAAGAAAACAAAGTAATTATTTTGAATATATTAAAAATAATGCAAAGTGATTATACTGTTATCTGCCAAGTAGATTATGCAGAAAATTTTGCATTTGACAACCAAAATCAAATACAATCTGCACATTGGGCAAAAAACAATTTTATCTATACTTCATCAAGCATCTTATCCAACTTCATTTCATGGAGATAGAGAAACCGCAAGGTGGAAAGAAGTGATTCCGTCACGCTTGGACAGGCCGAAAGATAATTTCAAAGACAAAGTCAAACAGATATTTTCGATCTTTCATCTTTTCTTATTGAATTATGCTTTAGAAAACTATATCGATGGGATGATAACAATTTTATTTAATTTTTAAATATTTTTGACATTTATCATTGTTCCATAAATTGCCAACACAAACAATTCCATCCAAATCAATAATTTCATTGATTATTTTAACATAAGCTTGTGTTTCTTCATATCTTCCATTGCTATTCAGTTTTCCATGCCATTCATTAGTATGATCTTTAATTGTGATCGATTGTGGTTTATCATATTCGTCCATTGTTATCTCTACTATTCCGTCATCAACCAATCTTTTCCATAGATCATTAGAATATACTGCTGTATAAGGTTTAACATTACTGACACTAATAGTCACATGAGGATATTTATTCATTGAACGATGACTATCATTACTATCGACACTATGAACTAAGATTGTTTGTGCATGTTCATCTTCGGCATAGGCTAAAATTCTTAATTTTTGTACGTGTCCGTAATGTGATTTATAGTTGTTCATACTGTCAGATCTTGGATAAAATTCAATTGTACTATGTTCACAATAAATATGACGAGTGTTACCATAAAATGGAGATGAATGTTCATGAGAACGAAAAACTTTATCTTTTAATAAATTCTTCATGCTCTCAGTTAAAAACACCGTCATAAAACGAGAACAATAAATGACAGGAAAACACCATAACAAAGCAAATGTGATAAAACTCATAATGCCAAAATAATACGGAGAGGTACGATGAAATAGATGATTTTCACACCGGTTCTTATTTTATTTCATAAATGAAAGTGTAACGAAAAGAATGCAGATGCTTTTTATTTTATATTCTTTTTTTCTTTAAACAAATGAAAAAATAAAAATAAAAAATAAAAAAAAGCAAGCATAAACGTCATTTTGCTCTAGGGATGCACCAAATCCAATTCTAGGTCAAATCCAGTCAAATCCAAATCCAGGTCAAATTTAGTCAAATCCAAACCCAAATCTAACTCCAGTCAAATCCAATTCCTGGATTTGACTGGATTTGGATTTGGTGTACACCTATTTTGGTCTATATCTATTTGTCAATAATGAGAAAATCTACAGCTGATCTATTTATATACTATTTGTTTTTATGCGTACTTGAAACGAATGCAGAATAATGGAGAAGCGGTGATAAGGCCACTTTTCAGTCCAAAGTATTTTCGAGAGATAACCATACTGGAATAGCAAGTTCGACATGGGCTACAGCATAGACATACTCATTTGTCTTGAAACGATATTGAGACTTTTGATTTCTGTATCCTCCTACCGAGTTTTCTGGAAAACTTTTTCAAAACCTACTTCTGAAACAAATCTAGCAATATCAAGTCGATCATACTGATTACGAATATCGAAATTAGAAGTCTCAAAAATGTAGCTTTGAAACAAAAGACGAGCTGGGTGTGGAATGAGGGTTTGGGTGTATGTGAGACTGAAGATAGGAAGAGACTGACAACCACACCCAACTAGACATTTGTCTAGGATTAATACAGAAGCGGATTTTCTAGAACTTTTTTGTTTTGTTTCGCAGTAAACCATGAATTTAAATCTCGAACTGGAATACCTTCGTATAGAATCAATGCTTTTGAATCTTTCCGATGATGTACACAATAGAGTGGTTTTAAAACCATAAATTCTATACTTTATGTGCACTTGAAAATGCAGTATTTTGTTCACAATAATAAGAAAATATGCTTAGACAATTACCTCATCGGTTCTTTATTTATTAATGCGTCTTAGTAAAGCGAAAAACTCATCAATAAATATTAAGATGACTAATATATTTTCGAAATTAGGATGTTCGTTTTCATATAAGGGTAGATAAATCTAACATGTCATGAAGATATATGAACTTCTTTCTTATTGCAGTCCTAGAGGATTAAGTAAAAGATGAGTGCCAAAATAGATCAAATTTAAAGAATAGTCTCGTAATTGGACATATCAGCTACATCGTGTTTTACCTTTTAACTCTACAGAAATGGTGCTAAAAGCTTTCCAGTTCAAAATAAATTCGTACTGATTGAGCCATTTTTTTATTTACGCAGAAATTTTTTAATTTTTAGTTAATTTACTATTGTTTTATGATAGATTTCTATAAAACCTGTGAGATTTTAGAAATTCTCTATAAATTTAGAAATTCAATTTATTTTTTCTAAATGCTCAACTGAAATACGACAAAGTCGCGCATAAACGTCCAAATATTAATCGAGTAGATATTGAACATTAATATACACACGTCCGCTCATATAACGCGACACTTTAACGATCAAGTCTCTTTGAAAGCTTATTTTTCAAGATGATCTAATCTAGATACTTTATTAGATGGAGTTTTTTCTTCGCTAATTACGAATTTGATGTTTTTTTTCAACAAATGCTGAATGATATAACATTCGATGCAGAATTCAATTCTTTACAAAAATTATCTAATGATTTTATTACTTTCGTATCTAAGCATTACTTGTACATTTTTCAACTTCTTGTACAGATCATGAGCTTCCGATTTGATCTAGTAACTTGATTCTTGCTCACAACGGCTAAGTATACGATGAAGATAAATATTTATGAAAATTAAATACTAATAAGCGGATTAAGTATCTCAAATTTGATCGATACAAAATAAGGATAACAGTTTAAGTTTGTTTACTACTGAAAAAATCCGTTTGATGCACTACTAAAGTGGCTCTAGAAGCATCTCATTTGGAGAAATACTTTCACAAGAAACTAGAGTTATATGAGCGACACTAGAAGTAAAAGGTTTTTTATGTAGCAGTGTCAAGCGATGATGAAATCTTTCAAGAAGCTCGAGAATGATAAACTATATCGAATAACGTGTGAACAAATGTTCTAACTTTCAATTATTTCGAGATAGTTGTAACAAAATGTGTCGAAAATTTAACAGCATCACTTTTGGACAAGCTAAATACCAATTGATCTTAAATTTCTTGACAAGAATCGATATCATATAAAAGCGCAGTTTTACAAAAAAATAAAAATAACACAAGCTCGCAGTGCGTAAACATTCTTCTAATGTTCTCAAAATTTTTATCAGAGGCATAGATTATCAATAAATAGGAATTCAAAAACTGAAGAGTCTTCAAATTTTTTATCCGATCGAGATTACGCTATCGACCTTTTTATTTGCGTGTTTCAGAATGCAACTTAATCTAATAGAAATTTATTTTGAGACAGTTATAGATAATACAATTCGTACCAAGAATGATTTACAAAGGTAAGGATGTGGACTCGGATCAGAGATAAGTACAGTCCTACTGTTCTGTCTTCTTGTGTGACATATTAAAATATATTATCATGAGTTTTCATTTGATAACTCTAGAGAGCTGCATAGCGTAAAAACGTCTTGGAAATCTATTGAGTTTGAATTAGAATAGTAACTAATTCATCAAAAAATTATATATATTCAAGTTCAATTGACATGATTCGAGTAATTCTGAGGCAAACACGACATGAAAAAACAGTTCATACTTGCTAATGAATATTCTTCATTAACAAAAACTTGAACATAATTAAGAACATCTCGTAAAAATTGGGTGTGGGTGTAGGTGCGGCCATGCACTGTAGAAGTACTACTCTCACATCCACATCCACACCGACACCCACACCCTTCTTGGAATTATTCATCTTCTGCAAAGCCAACTAATGAAACCCTTAAGCAACGTCGAAATCACAACCTTGGTGTGTCTGATTCGAACTGTGAATTCAACTATCTCTATATTCTGTGTACTTCGTTTGTGATCTTCGAATCATCTGCACAAGTACTGCTATTAAGCCGTCTGAAGAGTCCTCTAGCAGCGACGAAATCATGATCATGGTAGCTTCATTCACCTATACCAACACCCATACCGGTTATACTTAATGTATTATACGAATTCTCTGCTATGCTTTAAGTGTTTGCCTTTGAACATTGGAGGCTTTCAGTATCCTTTCGATTTCGAGACAAGAGATGAGACAGTGCTAAAGCTACCTGACGAGTCCCTTGATAAAGGACGAGACTAGTCGTGGCGCTACACTCTATAGGACTTACCCACACCCACACTTTGACCCACATCCTCAAGTATTATTCTCCAGTTTTTTTCCTTTTACAAAAATATTTAGCTCCAACATAACATATGATTCTCAAGACACATACTAATTAGCACAGTGAATTACCTTAACTTCATTTTTTCTGTCTTTAAATTCATTTTCTCAACGAATATTTCACTCACGGGCTGAATGATTTACACGACATTGATTATTCTTTATAAGTTTAAAAAGGGAAAAATAGCCATTTATTTCTTCTTTTTTTTCGTGTCTTTTCCTGTCTTGAATACTGTTCCACCTAAAGAAACTCTGTGATGAGAATGAGCTTCTATTTGTAGGTAATCAAGTATTCAGCAAATGCTTGTGCATCATGATACGTAACAAAAATGTGGTCACCATCAGTTGTTGAATCAAATCCAACGGGTCGAGTTTTCATTGAACTATTTCCTAGGATTGTGTTTCCCATCAAAACACGAGACACAAACATAAATCGTTTCCCATTAGCATTTGGAATAGCATAGTTGTGACTGTAAGTAGCGTTTGATGAAAAATAGACGCCAAATCCATATACTGTACCTAAAAGTGAAATAAATTTCATGACAACCACGAAAAGACACAAGTTAAAAGCTCACCATTTATCCCGGCGAAACTTCTATTAAAACAATCTTCAATAATCAAATCTGCAGCTTTCTGAGGACAACCGTGATATAAACGCTTTTCGGTGTCTCTCTTGAGTCGTTTTCTGAAATCTCGACAATGTGCTAGATATTGCATGTACCATCGTTCATTTTGAATTCGTTCAATCTGTATAATTTGCGTATATTTTCCTTTCATTGTCAGATCGAAATTGGTGACAATCGATTTGTATTCATCGGTATTGATAGGCACTATGAAGCGTACTCTATTTTCTGTTGATTGTACCCATGTTGAAGGTAATTCATGGCTATTTGAGGTCGAAAGATCTGTTAAAAGACGAGCAAAGTTCTCTAACTATCTTTTAGTTAGAATGATCGTTATCAAAACGATATCTCTGTAGTGACAGATCGATATTTTTAGATAGAAACAAATATTTTGGTCCTTAGACGAATCGTTTTCGCGCTCTCAAAAGCGTAACTTAAATTTTCTTTGTCTTTCCCAAAATATAAAATGCATTTTTTACTTTTTTACGGCCATTGCCACAATTGAGATACTAGAAGTGTTACAAACGACAACAACTAGAAAACCAACTGAAAAAGTTCAAAGGTTGCTAGATACTCTGTATTACAACAAGGGATAAATCTAATTCGTTTGTTCAAAAATACGTAGTCTAAAATAATCGAACATAAATATTGTTTTAGTCTGTTTCTGTTGAAAAATTTGGCAGCTTCGTCGCTTTTCACCGATATTAAACGATGGCATAAATTCAATAGGCTGTTTTACAATACTGTTTACCTCTACGTGTCTCATCTCAATCTACGCTATATAATTTGACGCTCTTATGGGAATAAAGTCAAATTTGTGCACAAATTTAACTACATTTATGAATATCATCACATTGTACTTGATGGACATTAAAGTGAAAATAACTGAGGAAAGAGCAAAAGTTTTACTTTACCTTCTTGTGATGACAACACTTGCTTACAAAATTCATCATAGATCTCTGGTTGTTCGGGTTCTATCACGAATTTTACTGTCAGTGGTAAATTTCTCATCTTAAGTTGATTTTTGATTTCTCTAACCATTGTCTTGACTAAAATCTCTTTGGAACAGCCATGCTTTCCGCATCCAATAGCTGGAAATGCAACCGAAGTAAATTTATACAAAATGATATTTTGAATAACATTCCATACTAAGTCAACAATTGATTGTTGAAGAACTTCTTTATCGGTGTTGGGCTCCCATTTGACAAAAAATATTCGTTTGCAAGGTAGTTGACCAGATGAAATCGAAAGTGTTAATGAATCTGGATTACTTTTATATTCTTTTGCATATGCCATTTGAACGTCACTACCAGCCGCATTCATTATTGCTCTTTTTAAGATGTGCGATGATGAGCTTCCAACAATAACATCAACCTACCGACAACAACCGAGAAGAAAATACACTTTGTATCGATGAAGATACAAGTCTTAGCGGTTACCTTTTGTGCTATTATATCTCCGATTTGAATTTCCACAGTTCCTTTTGCAATTGTCATTGATATTGGTTTTCTTTCTGGAGTTTGCTGAATTAACGTAATATGCTTTTGAAACTCATCGAAAACATCTATTCTATCTGGGTGTATTACGAAGAAAACCGACATAGGATAATTAAATAGTTGACAATAAACTTCCTTAACGAATGTCTGAGCAACAAGATTGATTGGACATCCATATTGGCCGCAACCAATAGCGGGTATTGCAATACTTTGATAGTTTTCACTTGCTGCTTTTTCCATTGCATCTGAGACGAATTTTTTAACGGAGTCACAAAATTTACTGACATCGGCATTAGGTTGCCATGGAAGAAAGTAAACTGTTTTCGCTGTCAACCGGCCATTCGTTGCAACAGTAATGATAGGAGCAGTTGGACTTTTCTTAATTGCAGTCTCGTACGAAACTTTTATCGAATTTCCCCCGGTTTTGAAAACACTTTCGCACAGAGTCTTTGATGACGAACATACAACGATAATATCGGTCTAATACATCGAGTGTGTGTGAATCTACAATTACTAATTTTGTGTACTTAGACTTACTTGTTCTGCTGTTAAATCACCTTGATGAATGCCAATCAATGAATTCAGATCTCTTTTAATAATTGAATACTTTAACAGAAAGACACCGAATATAAAATATATTCTAACACATCTTGAATACTTTTCACAAATATAGAAAGCGCCGGAAAAAAATCTAACGAAACCTTGTAGTCAGTCGTAAAATCTCCAGAATTATCGGTCTTTTCATTTTAGTTACTTTGTATAAAGAAATGTCGAGAATCTCACAACGACACGATCCTTAAATATTGGTGAACGCCTGAAAAAATTAAGCGCAAAGAGAAATGTATACAGCCCGTTTTACATTTATTTTCGTTGGCGATGATGAATCTCCATAACATTCGAATTCTTTGACTCTTCAAACTCGTTAACATACTGCTCCATAAAGAGGTCACTTCATGCTTTTCATGTTTCGTCAATAGCAATTACAAATGGAATAAATTTCCTATACTTTCACAATTCTGAATTGTGCAATGACTAGTTACAGCAGGTACTTACGGTCGACGATGCGTTAGAATCCAAGGTCGGTTTCAGTGATTGTCTGCAGTTTTCATCATATAGTTTGAGGCAAGCATTGCCTTATTGAAAAAAAAACTTTTTAATCTGAATCTACGATATCTTCCTTAGTTACCTATAGGAGAAAGATAAAACGGATCCAGGTCCGAGATGCGTCGCTCTAAGAGAGCAATTTGCGATTCACGGTTGAAATATTCCAAACAATCGATAAACCAACTGAAAGCAAGTTCTCGACCGCACGAACTGGCTCGTTCGTTGTTTATTAACATATCCCAAAGTGTTTCGCCATATTTGAGTGGCAGACTGAGGTTACCACTTTCCAGCAGACATAAGAGTAGATCAAGATAAGCTTTCGTCGATTCTTCGTGGGTGAAACATTCATCAACTAGTGTGTCGACTTTGACATCACTCTGCGTCATGTTCCACATATCCTGTTGACTAGTTGATAGACTTTGAATCAAGACATTGATTAGATCACATTTGTGGACTAAGAAACTAATAATATCTTGATTCGTTGTCTTTGATGTATTCGTTGGATTGTGACGCAAGATTTCGGTGAGATATTTAATGGCAGGTATATGCCAGCCAGTGTTTCGCTGAAGATCTTTCATGCATTTGAGAGAGTAATTCCGTCTAAGTTCGTCGTATTCTGGACGATCCTCGACAAATACTCGGTAGTGACTACGAAGAAGACGATCGAGCATCGATCGACTGAGACCATTTTCGTGTGCCATGATCCATAAGCTTTCCAAGACCTAATAGCAAAAATTTTAATCCTCTCTTTTTTTTCTCTTTCTCGTAGAGAACAATCTAGCAAACACAAATTGTCTGATTGCTTGCTTGTTTGTGTGTTCACACCTCACTGATGGGTTGAAAATTCGTACGACAAAGAACTGACGTGGAAAGCCACAATCAGGCACCCATTTGAGGGTTGTGGGTGAACGTGAATAAGGATAAGCGTTATAGTGGTTTGAGACGAGAGGCGTGGAAGAAGTAAGTGATGAGAACCAATAGAAATCAAGTTTTTAGGAAAAAGCATTTTTAGAAGTATCCAGATGTTCGCTTCTGGGAGTGAAGTGTGTAGCAAGCATAAATTGTCTTCTTGCTTATGTGAGCGTCCAAACTTCACTAATTGGCTGAAAACGAATCTGAGAGGAAACTGTTGCGGTAGCTCAAATATGACTCTATTTGTGTATACTACCGATTATGACGCAAGTGCGTGTTGGAAGCGATGACAAAGAAATAAGATCAATTTTTTCAATTGGTTTTGCAGTGAATGTGGAGAGATCGCATTCTTACGAGAAAGAGCTAAGCGAGTCCTCAGACGAGCGTTACTTGTTTCTTTAGCTTTTATAAAATCCTACCCGACCAATCGATTCTTGTTTACATTGACGTCCAATTACACTCAACAATACGATAAGTTTCTCTTGAGCAGATGCCGTTTCTATTTTCCATGACTAAATTTTTCACAAAATTCAATGTCTTGTTTTATTCTAAACTAAATACTCACCTTATAGATACAACCAATCAAATGGTTGATTTGTTCTAAATTGAATTTTGCTGCTGCACTGGTGATCAATGTGAATAGATGAACGACACTCACAAATGACCGACCATGCTATATGCATAGACAACGTTTTACAAGTGTCCGCTTTTTGATAACGAATGAATTCTACCTGCATTTTCCAGATCTTTTCAATTTCTTCTTTCGAGATGTGTGGTGCAATAAAATCCATTAATATTCGTACTTTTCCCATGTACTGCTTTTGATCGATATTTCCTATTTACGTGCAAAAGAATCGATTGTGTCTTTCAAAAATGTTTTCATTAAAATGTAACTTACCTTCGAGTACTTTCCATAGGATTGAATTTTTTATAATATATTTGGTGATTACATTATGTGGAATCAATATACTATCTTCGATGATTTTAGCGAGCTGCTTATAGAAAGTTTTTCTTAATAGAGCAAAAAATGGTCAGTATTGATTTACTTCGTTTAATGAATTCATTTTGGCATCGAAATTCGATAGAGTGACCATTTTTAGAATAAGATTCAAATACACTTTGTTGACATGTTCAACACAATTTGACCGAGCAGACGAATAGATTTTTCGTAGAATAGATAATAGTTCAAACGCGTCATTTATTGACTAAAACTTTTATATTAGCAAGTATAGACGGAAAAACATATACGAACGTTCTCTTTGAAATTTTCTTCATTCATATCTTCTATATAATCAAGGACTTGATCGATTTCCTTACTGAACAATTGTCGATATCGTGCCTTGATAAGATAATTCATACAATTGACGAATGGCATCAACAAAGCATGATATTCCTAGAGAAGATAGATTTTATACAAATATTTTTATTTTGATGTCCTTACTAGAGCAGTCAGTCGTGGTTCATCTTGAAATTGTTTTCTTAAATTTTTGATTCCATTTTTCAAAACGAATCGATTAATAATTTGACACAGCCAGCCATATGTATCTTTTTGATGATGGACCGAGAAGATTGATGACGCTGGTGGAGTGGCTAAGACACGATCACCTAATGTTTGGTCAAGTAAATATTCGTAAGGTTTATTTTTGTGTTTGAGTTGAAATACGGAATCACAATCGAAGAGCATAGCTAATGTTTCGAGCAATTGAACAGGAACAGGTCTGTAGGAAAGACGAACTGCAATCAGGTCGATTAATAATTCGATCATATTGAATATGCTTAGTTGTACTTCGTTTGTCCATGTGCTGACATGATATGAATATAGTAACTTGAATAAGAAAAAACAGAAGGAGTATGAAAACATAATACGAAAGATAATACTGCACCTTTTTAACGGTATCCGGAATCAGAAATTCCATGAATCTTTTGCAATTTTCATTTTGATCAGCGATACCTTTAGTGGAACAACGGCATATAAACAAAAAAAAGAGCTAACAAGAAAGTGTCATTGTTTTAATTTTACCGGCGTGAGCAAGTGTGGTAGCCGACAAAAGGCATTGACCTAATAGTTCTTCATCTAAATAACAGTGAGAAGAACAGATGAAAAATTAATTTTGGAAAAAACTTAACCAATGTACGGTTAAAAATTCCATATATATAAAGAAGAATGTTTGTCAGTTCTTTATGCATTTCGTTCCTGTAATAGCTGGCGTCACCAAACTTTCCAAGGAACTCCTCTAAGCTTAGGAGAAGGGGTTGGCGACACCGGCAGTGGCGGGGATGAGGGCTTGGGTGAAGTTTCCCCCAGCTGTAATAAACTGTAGTTTTCACCGATTTTTCAGTTTGGAAGAATTTCTTACGATCTTTAGGGTGTCTATCCACTACCAGGATCTTTTCGCGATGTGTGCGGGTGTGGTGTACGGAAGTGTGCATGAGCGAAAAGGAAGACATTCATATCCACACGATATTTGCTGAACTATAGAAATTCGGCGTAGGTGTGAGTGCATGCAGCAGAGATGGGTAACTCTAACTCCGCAGGTGGAGTTGAAGTTAGGCTTTCGAGATAGGAAGGAAGTTAGAGTTAGAGTTGGAGTGGGGTTTCATGAATGAGGAGTGGATTTGGAGCGGAGTTATTCATCTCTAGTATGCACGACAGGACATGTTGTGGTGACAGATGCAAAACTTTCAACCACACCTCTATCTACATCTCCTATAGTTTTTCAATATGGAGATTCCCCGACCAACATCGGGTATTTTCGCTAGTAGTATATAACATCAAGATCTTGTAGCTGTTTAGTGCAAAATATTATCTGTAACAAACTTACGTTTGAAGGGAATCGACCAGTCATGACTGTAAACTGTTTTTTCCCAATCGAGAAAAGCCTCACTTGTAAATGAGTTTGAATCGGTTTTCACTCGATTAGTTGTCGAGGCAATATTTGAATTGTCGCTAGAGGAAATCTTGATAGAAACAAATAATAAAATATATACTGAAATAGATTATGACAGAAAAAAACCGAATGTTCTTGTGTTCGTTTGCCATCCGAATATTTCCGCTGGAATATGGTACGCGACAATTTTGTCTTGAGCTGATTCATATCAATTACACCAGTGAGACGACTGACGCAGCAAGAGTTGTTAACATGTGCTTTGTTCTTATCTCATTCTCTTATCGTTTTTTGTTATCTTCTTTCTATTTGTTGTTCGAGATATCATTTGGTATGTGGCCCCATAAATGTCGATTTACTTGGAATCATCACATCATTCGAAAATAGTTTCAACTAGCAAGTTTCGTTATAGTTGGGTGGGTGTGGGTGTGGGTTGGGTGTGGGTGTGGGTGTGGTTGGGTGTGGGTGTGGGTGTGGTTGGGTGTGGGTGTGTGTGTGGGTGTGGGTTGGGTGTGTGTGTGGGTTGGGTGTGGGTGTGGGTGGGATGTGGGCGTAGGTGTGGGTGTGGGTGTGGGTGTGTGTGGGTGTGGGGTGTGGGTGTGAGTGTGGAGCATGAGTGTGGATATGGTTGAGTCGAGGTGGGATGTGGGTATTCTTGTTCCCAACATCCCGACCCAATCACACCCGCACCTACATCCCATGGCAACATCCACACCCACACCCTCAATACTCTATCGTACATCGTCATACTCTAGTAAATTTTGATCCCTACATTTTATGATCGCATATGAAAGAGTATTTCCAAAAGCCCTTCAATTCAAATAATCAATCCATTAAAATGTATCTCTGAAAAGTTATGAAATAAACGCTGAATGCATTCTCAGCTATTCACATTCTTGAAAAGTTCATTTTGTGATTGAAGACATTCTGTAGCTCCTCTATTCGTCTAATTGTGAAGTGTGGAATTTTTTTGTTCTACTCTCTCTTGTAGATTTTTTCCAACCATGCTGACTTGAGTGTCGATATAAATAATTAATTATGATTTGTTAATGAAAGTTATAATTATTCTGAATAACGGCGTACCTTTTAAATTTACCTCTGAAGGGAAAAATGCCAACCAAGAAATTATTCAAACGTGATCGGTTAAAAATAATGTATGAGCTACGTGCGAGCAATGAAAAAAGATACTCCGTCTTGAAAATACACATCAAAACGTTATTAGGTCGTATCTATCACTGCGCAACAAACACAAGCACGCTTACTTTTATATGTGTACAGGTTTTTGAATCCTTCAGATTCAACATTTGTCACAACTAGAAATACGAGTAAGTTTTTCCTATGAATTATTTTAAACCAAATATTAACAAATAATGGCGTCAACTTTTTCAATGTTCTCGCAATGGGTTCATGATAATGTAGAAGCTGAGTCACATCTATGAAAAAATTTTACAGTAAGCTTCACTTTTCCACGTTTTCAATCCTGACAAGTTTCGCAACACCAAGTTGAAATAAATCCGAGTTTTCCACTGTCTTATGTTCTGTCTTCGATGGTCAGTCGTATACGACTTCTGTCTTCGCTAATTTATTGTGCGGAAAAAAGATATTCGCAGCAAAGAATATACGTTGTGCTTTGACGGTAGAAATAATATACAGCATATAGAAAGAACATAGAATGTAAACTGGGTGTTTTGCGTTCTATATGTTATCCATGAGATGAAATTGGACTTAAAAGAGTCAAGAGTGTGAGTGGGTGTATGTCGCAGGATTGTGAGTCTAGATGAGCTGAATACAGACTTTCACACCTATACACACTTGTTGAAATTTTAACTGAGAGTACTGTTTAAATAGAAGTCCATTATGCAAACGGCGTTCCAGGTCCAAAATCAGAAACATGATTTTTCTGGCAAATAGGAACTCGACCAGAAAAATGCATCAAAAAATCGATATTGAAGCAACAAAGACTCAATCAAACGATCTACTTTAGGGTGCTGATTTACTCACTAGACTCTATAGATTGAATATAGCCCCAACTTGAAGCAACTAACCCACTGATTGACTTTGTTGAACAATGACCTCAAAATCTGTTCTCATACATCGATTATTGTTGAAAGTTACGACAATTATGAAGAGTTCCTTCAATACTGAGAACATAAGGTGATGATCGGAAAATTCAGAGGATGAAAAAGTAGCGGATTCATAGTACGATGTCTTTGCTAGTACTACAAACTGGTACACCAATTGTTTTTCTTTAAATAAGGATTATTGGAGAATATGAATTGCATTTTCTTGTTAGAACTTCACTATTCTTGAACTTTGTGTCTACCGTAGAAGGTGATCTACCGACTCGATTCATGATACATCCAATCAGCAAAGTATCTCGAATGACATTCATATTTCGAGTGCAATTTCTGTATCTGTAAGCCTGTCTCCTTTAAATTTCTGCTGTGATGATCATGTTAATCTATTAGAACAAGGTTTCTTCAATCAACATTTTGCTCTGTTCTTGGAATTGTTTCTTTCATGAGCACGGAGACGGCGATCAGCATTATTATAGCTTGTTTCACTGCGTCAAAGCAACAAACTATAATACTCTTTCACAGTTCTATTTATAAGGTACTCCTGGAATTTACAAGAGCGAGAATATTTTAGTACTTGTTTCGTTTTTACTAGCATTTTTTCAGTTGCTTGCATAGATGCATCTGCGTGCGCGTACTCAGAAATGATCTCAGACTCTTTAGACAAATATACTAACTGAAGAATCGACGGAGACAATGCAATTAGAACTAGAATGTTGTTCATAAATGTTGCGTATCTGATTATCTAGCATATTTCTGGATGATATCTCGTGAGAATATGCTATAACTGTAATGAGGTGTCCAAACAGATCGCAAATTGAATTGCTTCAAGATAAACAGTTTTTTTTCTGCCTAAATATTCTTAAATAATTAACTGCAACTACAAAAGTTTGGAATATATACATAATGACAATCGAAAACAACATTTGCATTAAAACAGTTTTTCATGCAAGGAGGATATTAATTGTTTGCACAGAAACAATATAATATTCGATCTATATGAGTGTCTCATGAGAACTGCATTTGTGTAGAATGGGGTATGGGTCCGTGGGAAAAAAAAGTCTAACACCAACATCCACATCCTTCTCCTTGTTATTTCAACGAGTAATATTTCCATATTTTTTGTCTTCACTCGTTGTCTCTAACTTTATCCTCTGGATAAATAATTCGTTATTGTTTAATATTCTTTGAAGAAAGTCAGGGATATATTAAAAGAAGAATATCGATATTTCTTTAAACCCCTGCGCCTCCCCTCAAATAGAAGTTCACCGGGCTCCTAATTTGTTTTCCAAGTCAACAGTTTGAATATGGACTTCTATTGCAGCTATGCATACATTAACTTATAAGCATAGGAGTGTTCAACAATTGATACATTAAAATTTTCAAATGGTGACCAGATTCAGAATACCTACAGTACTTTTCCTGGAATCAGAAGTTGACTATCAGTTCTGTTTCCGTTCTATACTACTAAGTTAACAAAGTTATGAATTATTTGTACTAATTTTCACATCTATATGATCATCCATCCTGCAACACTCGGTGAATCCTTATGTGCATACAAGCAGTTGTGACTGATACAACATTTAACTAAGAAATAGTCGACTTTTGAAAAATTTACTTATACCGATATGACTTTACCAGACAAGTTCATCATAGAAGTTTGTACACAATTCAGAAGTGAAATGAGATATATTGTAATTATCCTAGCAGAAAAATAAAATAAGCCTTTGATTATGAGAAACGAGTCTCTTATTTCTAAGTAATCAATAGTTCAACTCTCACAAGTATTGTAATATCATCTTACACTATTTCTTATTATTGAATTCGGTAGACATTTACATAATTTGAAAAGATCACCGTTCTTCTTTGTAAGATGTTTCATTTTTCAGCAAAGAATTTGTCCATATCTCTGTTAAGTTCATAAAAATAGATATCATTTTGTTTCTGAACTCTGCATAAACTGATAATGAAAAGATATGATTGCATGTGTAATTTCTATTTCAAAGTTCTGCAACAGCTATCTTTGAGTATTAGGTATGCATATATTTTTCAGATTACAAGAGAAATTGATGTATCTATAGCTAGAAAATATACAATATAAAAATATTGACTACTTAAAATAGAGCTATAATTGAATACCAAAAAAGTAATGATCTAATCTATCCAATATCTTATGTTGTTTATTTTTGTTCAGGTTAGATACAACGGGCTTCTCTATTCACTGCAGGTGTTTAGTTTGAGTAATCGATTAAATGATTTCATATCGTTTATATAGATCGTGAATGAATTTGGTCAGTTTATCTCTCTAGAAAATACTTTAATGTTGAAGAGGTCATACTTTATGATATAATTTGTATGGAATTGTGTAAGTGATTCAGCTTCAACAGGTAATGTTTCAAATTGTTGAGAATTTCTATTTGTTTCTTCGTGGAAACTCTTACTCATTTTTTGTTCTTCCACGAGCATCTTCGCCTCGTCTTGGTGACATTAGAATTCAATTGTTGAGTCGATCAATCTTTATTAATTTATTTCGATTAGTTCTTGTACACATTTCAGTGTAAACTTGAAGAAAGAATATATCAAAATACTTTTCTAATTGATAGCATGTAGAGAAGAGGAGTTTTATGTTCTCAATGAAAAGTAAATAGAAGAGGTTTTTTTGCGAAAACGTATTTTCATTTTTACCATAGTACGCCTAGTGGAACTGTTATATGACTTTTTTGTTGATTCCTAATAAGCCGTATTATTCTAGAATCTTTTTTTTCTCTCTTGACATAAGAAAGTCATTTGAGTCTATTTAAATTGAAATATCACTTTTAATTGTTTCATATTGGACTATATATGTAACTATTTTCATTCATTATATTAAATATATATGATCCAACAAAAAAATTGCACATCGACTGATGAAATTTTAAAATAATAATTTTTTTTTTATTTTAAAAATGATAAAAAATAATGAAACTTATAGCTAATGTCATTAAGAAAGAAGAAACCATTTTTTTATTTCCATCAGCAATTCGTCGTCCGTTAGCATCTGTTAAACCATGATTGTTGAATATATTTTTAACTTGTGAAAGTGTCTCATCAGTATTGCATAAATTACGATTACATTCAATATCAAATGTTGAATGATGTTCGCCATCAAAAACATAAACTCCGGGCTTATAATTTTCCTCACAATCACGTGATCTGACTATATCTTCTCGTTGATCATAAACTATAGAGCACATTTGATCAGATGAGCATGTAACTATTTCATTTTTCATGTTATAACATTGAATTGAACTATTTCTTAAAGGATTTTCGATAATTGGAGCAAGTTGTCCATATATGATTCGTGCATTATAGTTACGATCAACCATTTCATCGATTCTGTTCTGTGCGTATAAAAGATCACAATCAGTTCCTTTCAAACATTGATAATTGATTGAATAAGAGAGGTAGGGTCCAGATGTTATATAAAAAGAATCGGTCGACACCATAAAACTGTCATATTCTACATAATACGAATAATCGTGATACATGAATGCGATCTCAATAGAGCAAGCAGATACTGATTTCCATTGTTGACATTGCTCGTCAGGAATATTAAATGTTTGACCAAAACCATAACTACCAAGCGAACAGTTGGTTCTACATTGGAGAGCATAATCAATATCTATCGTTAGCAGTAAAATTAGTAATAAGGGCAACATTTTGTGTTTGTCTCAAAATTCAAAAGAAAATATGATTTTATATTGTTTATCAATAAACACGTGCGAAGGTTATATGATAAATATTCTCTTACTAAGCAAATCTAACTTTGATGTGATATGAATCAGATTTCTATGATATGCAGATCAGAATATGAAAGTTGAAGCACATTCTTCATTTCGTTTTTTTTAAATGATTCACAAAATAATCAAGCTATAATTCAATTAAACGTCTATTGACAGTTGAAACAGCAAAAATCTAAGTAACTGTCAATAATTATTTTCTAAATTTAAACATTTTTTCCAAAACTAAAAAAACAGAGCTCAATAAGATTCATGAAATAGTTGAGCTATTATCAATTTTAAAACTGGACTGATAATTTTTATCGATTTTATTTCGGTCTATTTTTTGTTGTTTTTTACAGTCTAAATCAGATATACGTTTTCTGAATCGGTTCAGAACAGATCATTCGTCGAATTAGCATCAATCATTCTTTAGTTTTCTAACGTTATAAGTATGAAATCGACTTCTAAATAGTATACATCGTTCACTTTACAAACGCAGTGGTCATATATCAAGTTTTGAATTGACCGCTAGAACGCTCTTTAAGATTTCTTTTCATGGTTTGATGTATTTATATTTTATTTAGAATTTATATTGCTAATTTTATTCGAAATCAAATATCTTATTTTTATTTATACTATAATTTCCGAAAGATATTTCATTCTTAATTTGAAATAATTAATAACTATTGATCAAGACTTTCGACTGTTATTCAGTGAATATTCGATGCGTTTTATGTTTTCTTTCTCCAAAGAAAGAAAAGAAAAAGAGATTGCATTTAAAGACGACGTCCAACTAGCAGCTTTCACAGTACATTTTTCTCTTTGATCTTTAAGCAACGTCAGTAGGTAAGTTAATATTTTACACATCAAGGTCGAACAAAAAACGCTTGTAAACGATTGTAAAACATTATATTTTTGAGCATTATGTGGTTCCCTATAACGATCGTATTTCGTGTTATACAATACGGATAAATATGATCGTTATACGAAGCTATGTAATATGCCGAAATAGGATCCTATACAAAGTGTGTAGGAATTTTATATATACTTCGTTCTGCAAGATAATATGAGACATTTTTTGAAAGAATAAATTCATCATCGAATCTGTGTTTGAATGTGCGTGTTGCAGAAAGAGGTGAACAATAGCAAATACATTATTTCATATCATGCTTTTTTTTTCGATTTCATAAAAGATATAAACATGACTACATAACTTGTTGAAGTATTGCAGTATTCTTTCCACATACATTGGATGTGTTAAATAAAAGTCAATGTTTTAGTAGTACATATGTCAGCGATTAAGAGGGTGAGTGTGGGTGAACGAAACAAGAAGACCCGCATCCTTACAAATGTTCCTTGACGAACATCAAATCTTTATTCATTAAAACTCACTTGTGATAAACTCTCACTTCCAGAATTGGCACTATTCAAAGACAGTAACGTATCGATCTGCCGTCTTGATTTCTATGAATATATCGAATATAAGGATTGGCAATGGTTCAATGGGTAACAATGCATTGAATTATGTAATTCTCCATTGAGCATGCAATGTGAAGTTCTTTGAATTAAAGTTGAAAATTCGATGGATGTACTTGAACTTGTCTATTCAATCTTGTTTTGTTACAAGAAATCAATTTGATTCTCGTTATTATATTCAATTGTAGATTCGTTGAGAATGATGTCTGAAGACTGTAATGTAACAAAATTGATTCTATTTTATTCTCTTCAAATAATGTTGAAACACTATTACTGGTTCTTATTTAATTTGGATAAGTGAAACTGAAAATCTCATAGACAAGAAAAAAAGCAACAAATAATTTTTGAATAGTTTCTTCGGTGGTGGTGGTGATATGACACGAGTATATCAAAACTTTCAAGCAATTCGTGGTGGTGGTGGTGGTCCTTTAGTAAATTTTCCTGGTGTGTCATTGCGTGTTCCAGACAGTACAAGTACTGCTTTAGCTGATTTTAATGCAACACGTCAACGTGAAAAACATGAACTTGAACAATTAAATGATAAACTTGCACAATATGTTGAAAAAGTAAAATTTTTAGAAATACAAAATAAAAAATTACAAATGGAATTAGATATATTACGAAGTCGTGCAGGGCAGTAAGTATATGTAAAAACAATAATTTGATTTTATTTTCTTCTTTTTCAAGAGATTCATCACGTATTAAAGAAATGTATGATATTGAAAAGAATGAAGCAAATAAATTAATTGATTCTACAAAATATGATAATGCTGCTGCTGCACAACAAACTGAAAAAGAAGTTGAACAACTACGAGTACAATATAATGAAGTAAGTAACTAATTTAAGAAAAACTGATCGTAAAGATATGGATGCTATTCAACGACAAATAGCTGAAAATTAACCCGTAAGGTTTTAATTTATAATAATCCTTGAAAAATTTAATAGTAATCATAGTTTTCGTTAAGGATAATAGCTAAAGTCAAATATACTTTGTGTTAATATTTGCATCTGCTATTTAGATATTCGATGTGATAATCAATTATACAATGTTAGAATTTCTTTTTCTTTTATTAATTTTCATCATATTTAAGTGAAAATTAATTGAGATCATGTATAATCTTTACAATCACTTTGCATACGTAAAAAATTTTTGTTCATAGGCAGATGTTGTTGAAATGCATTTTTTTTTCTCTTACTGGTTAAAATTATATACTGAACAAATACACATACAGAGAAAAGAAAATATCTATAGAGTCAAGAATGGTTTACTTCAATAGTTACTGTTATGTCAGGTAATTATCTTATAAGAACAATCAGCTGTTATTCATTTGTTTATTTAAACACAAAACAAAAAGAAATTGTCAGATTTCGATATATAGTTATTCTGAAATGGTGTAATCGATGGTGCGAAAGTCTTATGAGGAAACATATCTAAGTATTGGGTACCATTCGACTTCAGGGTGTGGATGTGAGTGATTTGATGTAGGCATGTTTCGTTTGTTTGTCCATACTCATATCCACCCACACCTTATGAGTTCGATACATAGTAGTAGCTACATCTTGTCCGGATATCTTTTTTAGTAATATGAAAAAGGAATTAATCAAATACCATATATAAAATAATTGTCCATTTCTTTATTTAGTAAATCTTCGTATTTGAAGGCTGTATTCGATTTTATGATAATGAAATGATAAAATTCATTTTAATTTGTACTGCAACATATAGATTATTTTTTTATTTTGTCTATTAAATGTTTAGTCATGATTAAATACTATCTACAGATTGATTAATGCTTATCTTTAATAACAAATAGTAAAGATGTATTTATTTCATAATATTTTTATAGTATGATTCTTTGGATTCATTCGACAAATACTAAGTACTTCATTTTCTTTTTTTTGTGACAAACATCGTAACATGGCATAAGTTCTATTAAAAAGAGAACAGACAATATCGATGGTACTTACACAAAAATATTCTTTCAAAGTTCAATAAACAAGTTCAGTTTATACGGTAAAAAATTTTTTGAAATTGAATTCTACAATAAATAATGTTCATATCAAGTTTATTTTTTATTCAAGATTTGATGATTCATCATTAATAACCCGATAGTTGAGTAAATTACACTTAAAAATATTATCATTTCCTATTAATATTATACTAATTTATGTAGTACATGCATCTGTATCAGCTTGATTAAATGTAAAATCAAGTGAACCAGAATATTCTTGACGATTATACAAAGACTAAAGCCTTATATATATAGCTAGCAACAGTTACATGGTAATATATATTTTCGGCTATGATTAGACATGTATGACCCTATATGAGCACCGAATTGAAAATCTGTACTAAATTCAGGCGTATAATTATCATTGGTTATATTATAATATATGGACTACAATTATTTCCATAACATACAATGGAAAATACTAATAAAATAATAGACCATTGTTATATGATAATTAAGTTGTTTTTTGATATTTCAAAAAAAAATTCTGAACATTCATTGTGTATAGTAAATATATAATCAGCTAAATTATTTATGACAAAAAAAAAGACATTCGAAAGAATTCATAAATTAATACAATATCTATTCTTTAATTCAATCAATATTATAGATTCAGTTAACATTTTATTAAAAAATTAAAGATATTTATTCTATTAATAAGATTCTTCAATTAATATTTTTATTGTACGTAAAATTTAAAAATAATTGTACATTATTGCTTTTACGTTTTTAGAATATGAAAAGAAGGATATTATACAAGCATATTTTATATTAGACTATTAGAAATACAAATAGGGGTACAACAAATCCAAACCTTTGGGATTTTGTCTAGAAAGATTTGGGTTTTGGTTTAGTCTCAAATTACCCAAATTCGATGAAGCACTGTAAGAAAAAGTACCAAAAGAATGAAAAGAATCGAAAGTCTTCAAAATTGATAAAAAGCGGCTTAGATTTGGTATAAATTTGGATTTGAGTGTTTAAGATTCGGGTTTGGATTTGATTTCATTCTACCATAAATCAAAAGTTCAAGTCATGTTAGATTGAAACCAAATCACAAATCCAAATCTAAATCTTATAGATTTGGTTCCAAATCCCAAATGCGTTAGAGATTTGTTACACCCCTAGTTTTTATAAAACGATATACTGAATTAGATCAGTAAGTAATATCCACAAAGAATACTATAAGATATGACAAAGAAACAAATTCTTGATTGTTGACAAGTGATACAGTAATAAACTCTATTATACTGTGAAAAAGAAGGCAAGGAAAAGTAAGAAAGAAGCAAGAATAGTCATATGTGAAATCATTTGATGTTGGCCACTGTTAAAGGAGCCCATGCCATTGAGGCTTAAAAACGAGCAACTTCCTGATGATGGATCACATTTATTGGTTATCATTGACGATAATATCAAATGCTGATCATCGGCTGATACTTGAATTGGTACTTCGCGAAGAACCATATCAATATTACTTTGATTCATTCGTTTCTCTATGCCCACAAATGCTGTATATGGAGTCAAAATACTGTAATTTAAGGACAGTTCAATAATGCGTTTTTTTGTTGTTTCTTCCATTTCTGTCGTGTTCTCTTTTAAATCTGTTTCGTCTTGAAAACGTGATTGTAATGAGCCCGTTGGTGCCTTCTTAGCATGTTGTAGTTCGAGAATGAGAGCTTTAGCAGCAAGACGTGCAATTGATCCTTTGTTATCTATACTGGATATTCGTTCAATTCTTGCCTCACCTAATCGATGATGATCTTCTTTCGTATAGAGTTCTACAGAAAGATTAACATCTGATGGTAAAGTACTGATATTATCCATGAGACCATAAATAATCAAACGATCATTAGCATAAACAGGAGGCAATTGTGTAGGTGCCGTGTGTACATCAATTTCACTAAAATTCCATTTTACTTGAACATTAGTAATGCTTGGTTGTAGAGCTCTATGAAGTTGTTCCTTGACGTATACATCAACTCTACTGTTTGGTGGAATGAAGACAAATCGACCATTCGTCGCTCGAGCAAGACCTTTAACAAGCGCTCGACTAGGTGACATACCTAAGCCAAATGAGAAAATACGAGTAGATGAAGCCATCGATCGACATAAATCAAGTACTGCAGAGACATCAGAAATTTCTCCATCAGTAAGAAGAAAGATTTGACGAGAACGACCTTTTACTGGAGGATGTCTTTTTAACCATTGTAATGGTGCTAACTATATAAAAAAAAAGCAACAGTGAGATTGTATGAAATCAAATGAGGAAACTTACTAATTCAGTTCCGCCTAAATTAGCCTGCATGTGACTAACCATCTGTTGGGCTTGTCGAATATTTGCTTTATTATAGACAACAGTAATCTCAGAGAATAAAGCTGTAAAATCAGAGCCAAATCGAATGATGTTAAATTGAGAATTATCAGGAAGACTTTTCAAAAATAGCATAACAGCCTCTCGAGTTAAACCAATCTTGTTGTCTGATGTCATTGATCCACTACAGTCAACGATAAAGATAAATTCATTTGTCTCTTCATTATTTCGCGCTTGTCGACAATCTTCTTCACTAGGAATAAATGTAGCCATGACAGCATTTGATTCGATAGTCAAAATAGTATTAACTTGTTTTTCAGCCAATTCAATATTAATAAGAATATCTCGATCTAATTGAGTATTTTCTTGATCAAATGTTACTACATAAGCGTCTTGTTGATCAAAATCAATTTTAATTGGATGAGATGATGAACTGACTTTACGAATTAACTCTCCAGTCTCTCCAACTATCTTCTTGATCAAACAATAAAATTTAATAGTATACGGACTTTTCTGAACATATTTAGAATTAGTACTTGCAGGTAATGAAATTCCACCTTGTTTAGAATCATATCGAGGTGCAATAGTAGTAGGAATAACAAAACGAATAATAAATCCATCTATCAGATCTAATTCAGTGACATATGAAATAGTGATTGTACATTCAGTTGATGGTGGTAATGCACCAACATTAATGATGAAATTATCTTGAGACTTTTCATCTTGTTCCAATAGATAAGCGCCATGATTTTCTCGTAGAGCTTGAACATATTCCTTCTGTGCTACTTTTTTCTCTTTGAGTTGAGCAATAATTTCTCGATCATTAATACGTGCAACGAATGAGTAGATTGCTGCTTGTTCTTCAATAGGAAAACAATAAATAGCTTCAATCGGTTTATTTTCATCATTACGAAACACTTGAATAATTGTCACATCGGCAGCAAATGAATGAATTGTTGTTTCGATATAAACTTTCTGCAAAGGAACATAGAGCGATTGAAATTGATCACTATTAACATCATCTATATTTCGTTTGATTTCAAGTCTTTGACCATGTATTTGTACAAAAAAGAAAAGATATATGTGTAAGATAAATAGTAAGTATTGCCAATTTTTACCTATAAGAAGCAAATTCATATTTTATTACAACTCATAAAATTAATTTCCAAATGCAAACTAGAAGAATATTGCTAACTTACAATGTTTAGTGATTTGAATCATTTAATTATCAATTTCTATATGAATCTAATAATATTTTATCTAAAAAATAAACATAAGCAATGTATGTTTTATAAATAGTATCTGTTTTGATATATTCGTTTGTATCAATTGGTAACTAAAACATATTGAATTTCAGTCTATCAAAATTTATTATGCAGTTGAATGAATATAATTTATATCGGAACAATGATTTTTATATGCATCTTTTTTCAATAAATTATTCATCGAAGAAAAAAGAAAGGAAAGTAAAGAACATTTTGTACACATACAAATCAATTTTTTCCCATCTTATTTATGAA